CACAGGTGGATTTTGTCAACATCATGAATGGACTCACTGTGGGGAGAAACAGTACGTACGTGACCGATGTGGGGAAGCTTTCAGCAGTCAGTCCTCTTTTCAAGAACATGAAAAGACCCACAGTGGAGGGAAACCCTATGTTTGTAAGCAGTGTGGCAAAGGTTTGAGCACACAGCGTAGGTGTCAGATGCATGAAAGAATTCACACTGGTGAGAAACCCTATGCATGTAAGCAGTGTGGGAAAGGTTTCTTCACTAGGCATGGTTGTCAAAGGCATGCAAAGACTCATACAGGGGAAAAGCCCTATGCATGTAAGCAGTGTGGCAAAGCTTTCAGTAACCATCATGATTGTCGAAGACATGAACAGACTCACAGTGGGGAAAAACCCTATGCATGTAAGCAATGTGGCAAACGTTTCAGCAGAAAATATAACTGGCAAACGCATGAGCGGGCTCACGCTGGGGAGAAACCCTATGTGTGTAAGCAATGTGGGAAAGCTTTCAGCGGAAAATATTCCCTTCAAGAACATGAAAGGACCCACAGTTCAGAGAAACGCTATGCATGTAAGCAATGTGGTAGAGCTTTCCCCACTAGACATGCTTGTAAAAGGCATGCGAAGATTCACACAGGGGAAAAGCCGTATGCATGTAAGCAGTGTGGCAAAGCTTTCAGGAATCATTGTGATTGTCAAAGACATGAACAGATTCACAGTGGGGTAAAACCCTATGCATGTAAGCAGTGTGGGAAAGCTTTTGGGAATCATCGTTACTGTCAGAGACATGAACAGACTCACAGTGAGTTAAAACCCTATGCATGTAAGCAGTGTGGCAAAGCTTTCAGGAATCATTGTGCTTGTCAGAGACATGAACAGAGTCACAGAGGGTTAAAACCCTATGCATGTAAGCAGTGTGGGAAACATTTCAGCAGAAAGGATAAGTGGCAAATGCATGAATGGACTCACACTGGTGAGAAACCCTATGCGTGTAAGCAGTGTGGGAAAGCCTTCAGCAGGAAAGATACTTGGCAAATACATGAACGGACTCGCAGCTGTGAGAAACCCTATGCATGTAAGCACTGTGGGAAAGCTTTCAGCAAGAAATCAGGTTGTCAAGTACATGAACGGATCCACACTGGGGAAAAACCCTATGCATGTAAGCACTGTGGAAAAGCTTTCAGCGCAAGTGGTAGTTGTCAAATTCATGAACGGAAACACACTGGGGAGAGACCCTATGTATGTAGGTATTGTGGAAAAGCTTTCATTACACGTTGTGATTGTCAGAGGCATGAACAGACTCACACTGGGGAAAAACCTTATGCGTGTAAGCAGTGTGGCAAAGCTTTCATCCTAAAAGCTCGTTTGCAAAAGCATGAACAGACTCACACTGGGGAGAAAGCCCATGTATGCAATGTGGGAAAGCTTTGAGATCACACTCAAATTGTCAAAGACGTACAGAGTCACGGGAGAAACCTTAAATATGTAAGCAATGTGGCAAAACTTTGAGCACAAAGTGTCAAATATATGAAAGAAGTCCCACTGAGGAGAAACTGAATGTGAGCAATTTCAGCCAACACAGTGTTTGTGGAATAAACGTCAAGTCTCCTAATGGAGAGAAACCATATGTATGCAATCAGTGTATGAAGGCCTTTGTTAGAGAATGTGAAACACGTATACAGATTCGCAGTGGGGCAGAACGCTGTGTATGTAAGTGTTCTGGTTGATACATTGTGTCAACCTGAGGAATCTAGAGGTTTGGCTAAGTGACTTGGCAGTTCCACATCGTGGGATGCATAGGACATGCCGTTCCTGCTCTAGGATGTTGTTCACTGTGTCAGTGTGAGAATTTAGAAGGTTGACTATGTGAGTGCCGTCCCATGGGTCGGGGTACCTTTCTTACACTATACGGTAAAGAGGCTTGCACA